ATGTGTGTGTATGTATATATATATATATATATATATATATATATATATATCTCTCAGAGTGTTTAGAGTAAATGCTATACCAACTTCTTTAAGTGAAATTTTTGTCAATTAAAAAATAAGAGTTATATCTAAACAGACTAAAAACAAGTTTCTTTCAGAAGCAACGCTGTATAAATATTAAGACTTGTTTCTGACATTTCTTGAATATAAGTCAGTTTTGTCTCACTGCAAAACTGGTTTTCTCACTTATTATGTCACTTATTTTTAACTTCTTTTCACTTGAAGTGAATCTACTAGTGCAGTAAGAGAAAACACACTCGTATTAAAGAAAGATTCTTCGTTAAAGAAAGTAAGCAGTATTGCTTTTGGAGTAAATTTATTTTGTTTGCAGTATTATTTTCTGTTCCTGGTCAGTCAGCTGACATGGATACTCCCTCGTTTCTCTTCTGTATTATTCATAAACTTCCACAATTACGTCCTCTATCTTTAACGAAGATATCAGGGTAAATGATGACTCTCTACAGGAGCGTAAAGCCGCTCGTATTCCGGCCCGTATGGACTCGGCGAATAGAGCCGAATGATGAAAGTCCTCCGATATCATCTGAGCGTTAAACTCTCCTGTCCGGAGCTCGCACTTTGATGATAAAGCGGCACACTCAGCGAGGCAAGCATTAAAATGTATCGCTGAGATTAATACGTTTCTTTGAACTGTAGGTAGAAAGAGAGAGAAAGAGTGTAAGAGAGAGAGAGAGAGAGAGAGAGGAAAACAGGGTGGAAATAAAAAGCATTATTGAGCGGTTACGCTGGAGAGATGGCATAGAGACAGACACATTTCCTCAGCCAGCGATCACAGCAGCCATGTGTGAAAGAGACGCCTAGGGCTTCAGGACTAGAGAAGAGCCACACACACACACACACACGCGCACACACGCACACACACACTCACACTCACACACACGTTTGTTTCTGTGAATTGTGGAAAAGAAAAGTCTTTCAATAGACTTCTATTACTTTTATACTGACTTTATACTTATACTTTATACTGACTGATATTTTCTATCCCCTAACCCAACCCTAAACCTACCCCTTACAGAAAACCTGTTTGCATTGTTACACTTTCAGATAAACATCATTTACTATTTTTAATAATTTTTTTCCCCTCGTGGGGACCGCAGGCACGCACACACACGCAAAGTCAAAAATTTTCAGGTTTTACTATCCTCGTGGGGACATTTTGTTCCTCACAATGTAGCATAAAGTGTACACACACACACACACACACACACACACACACACACACACACACACACACACACACACACACACACACACACACATCCCTACAGCGAGCATTTGAAAAATAATACACACA